AAACTCATTTTCACTGAGGGCCACATCAGCAATACAGTTCCCCTTAAAGGGTCGGTTGTAACTGGAAGACTGTATAGATCAGGAGCCCCCAACCCCCGGTCTAGGTACCAGTCCATAGGTCATTTGGTACTGGGCCACAGTGGGACACAATGAAATTGAATGTACTTAATTTTTACTAATTTACGTCATTCAAATAAAGTCCAGTCATATCCATTTACGTTCTTTATATAAAGAGAAACTGGCAATATTTTAAAATAATAGGTTATTCAGACTCTGATACAAACAGAATAGAGTCTTAAATGAAAATGTAATGATCCTTCGAGGCTCAGCACCTTGCTACAGTCTTTGGAACAAAAAAAACGCTGGTACAGATGTAACTACTCCATAACAGACTAATACATGTTTCTGCAATTGATTACTATTTGATTGATGATAAAAAAAAACTTTAATTACTTAGGTTAAAAAACTCTGCTGCATGAACTTTACTTTAAGCTCCAGCGGGCCACACAAAAGGGCTTAACGGGCCACATTTGGCCCCCGGGCCTTGAGTTTGACAAGTATGCCATACAGCATCGTTTGTAACTATACTGTCAGAAAAACGTAAATACTCAAAATGAAAAAGAGGAACACACCCCTTTTAAAACCTGTTACAAAGTGAAGTGTGTATGTCTGAGTCTAAAATTATCAGGCCAAATATAAACCACTAACGTGCAAATGTGACAGACGGGGACGCGTGAAACCTCTGTTGGATTGGAAAACAGAAGAATTCAGTGTTTGTCTCGCAGTTTCAACTTTTGCCCAGTCAAAAAAAAAACTGTTTGATTTAGTGAAGTTCAGTCAATAGCATTCTTTATTAAAATGGGATGTACCTGGTTTTGACTGTACTGTAGGAACAGGAAGTTATGATAAAGGGACTCTACCTTTCTTAATGTCAGAGGAATTGACATCAAATCTGAATCTATGGCAGTTAAATGTCAATTGTACAGTGAAATACATCTGTGAGTTGGACATTTCCTTGCATGTTAATTTTACCCAAATATTTTTGCCACCAAATTACTTTAGTGTTCAAACAAGGTCAAGTAACAGAAATTATCTCTTTGCATCTGACCTTTGATCCCACCGTCTTTCCAAAGAATTACGGTGAATCCAAAGTGGACGTGGACTAGGATGGTGTTTCTGCATGTGTGGCTGAGTGATGAGACCAGAACAGCATGATGGAAAGGCCACTAGGCTGCTAACATAAACACACCATACAGATACATGGAGAAAAAACAGGCCAGCGCAGGGGCAGGGGAGCGGAGGGGAGGGGAGAGAAGGGGAGAGGAGGAGAGGGCTGGGGGAGGAGAGGAGAGGGGAGGAGAGGGGAGGGGAGGGGAGAGAAGGGGAGAGGAGGAGAGGGCTGGGGGAGGAGAGGGGAGGGACGGAGAGGAGAGGGCTGGGGGAGGGGGGGGGGGGGGGGGGGAGAGAGAGGGGGAGGGGAGGAGAGGGCTGGGGGAGGAGAGGGGAGGGGAGGAGAGGGGACAGGAGGGGAGGGGAGAGAAGGGGAGAGGAGGAGAGGGCTGGGGGAGGAGAGGAGAGGGGAGGAGAGGGGAGGGGAGGAGAGGGGACAGGAGGGGAGGGGAGAGAAGGGGAGAGGAGGAGAGGGCTGGGGGAGGGGGGGGGGGGGGAGGAGAGGGGACGGGGGGGGGGGGGGGGGGAGGGAAAGAAGGGGGAGGGGAGGAGAGGGCTGGGGGAGGAGAGGGGAGGGAAGGAGAGGAGAGGGCTGGGGGAGGAGAGGGGAGGGAAGGAGAGGAGAGGGCTGGGGGAGGAGAGGAGAGGGGAGGAGAGGGGAGGGGAGGAGAGGGGACAGGAGGGGAGGGGAGAGAAGGGGAGAGGAGGAGAGGGCTGGGGGAGGGGGGGGGGGGGGAGGAGAGGGGACGGGGGGGGGGGGGGGGGGAGGGGAGGGGAGGGGAGAGAAGGGGAGAGGAGGAGAGGGCTGGGGGAGGAGAGGGGAGGGAAGGAGAGGAGAGGGCTGGGGGAGGAGAGGAGAGGGGAGGAGAGGGGAGGGGAGGAGAGGGCTGGGGGAGGAGAGGGGAGGGACGGAGAGGAGAGGGCTGGGGGAGGAGAGGGGAGGGAAGGAGAGGAGAGGGCTGGGGGAGGAGAGGGGAGGGAAGGAGAGGAGAGGGCTGGGGGAGGAGAGGGGAGGGAAGGAGAGGAGAGGGCTGGGGGAGGAGAGGGGAGGGGAGGAGAGGGCTGGGGGAGGAGAGGGGAGGGAAGGAGAGGAGAGGGCTGGGGGAGGAGAGGGGAGGGAAGGAGAGGAGAGGGCTGGGGGAGGGGGGGGGGGGGGGGGGGGGGAGAGAGAGGGGGAGGGGAGGAGAGGGCTGGGGGAGGAGAGGGGAGGGAAGGAGAGGAGAGGGCTGGGGGAGGGGGGGGGGGGGGAGGAGAGGGGACGGGGGGGGGGGGGGGGGGAGGGAAAGAAGGGGGAGGGGAGGAGAGGGCTGGGGGAGGGGGGGGGGGGGGAGGAGAGGGGACGGGGGGGGGGGGGGGGGGGAGAAGGGGAGAGGAGGAGAGGGCTGGGGGAGGAGAGGGGAGGGAAGGAGAGGAGAGGGCTGGGGGAGGGGGGGGGGGGGGAGGAGAGGGGACGGGGGGGGGGGGGGGGGGAGGGAAAGAAGGGGGAGGGGAGGAGAGGGCTGGGGGAGGAGAGGGGAGGGACGGAGAGGAGAGGGCTGGGGGAGGAGAGGGGAGGGAAGGAGAGGAGAGGGCTGGGGGAGGGGGGGGGGGGGGAGGAGAGGGGACGGGGGGGGGGGGGGGGGGGGGGGAGAAGGGGAGAGGAGGAGAGGGCTGGGGGAGGGGGGGGGGGGGGAGGAGAGGGGACGGGGGGGGGGGGGGGGGGGGGGGGGAGGGAAAGAAGGGGGAGGGGAGGAGAGGGCTGGGGGAGGGGGGGGGGGGGGAGGAGAGGGGACGGGGGGGGGGGGGGGGGGAGGGGAGGGGAGGGGAGAGAAGGGGAGAGGAGGAGAGGGCTGGGGGAGGAGAGGGGAGGGGAGGAGAGGGGACAGGAGGGGAGGGGAGAGAAGGGGAGAGGAGGAGAGGGCTGGGGGAGGAGAGGGGAGGGAAGGAGAGGAGAGGGCTGGGGGAGGAGAGGGGAGGGAAGGAGAGGAGAGGGCTGGGGGAGGAGAGGGGAGGGACGGAGAGGAGAGGGCTGGGGGAGGAGAGGAGAGGGGAGGAGAGGGGAGGGGAGGAGAGGGGACAGGAGGGGAGGGGAGAGAAGGGGAGAGGAGGAGAGGGCTGGGGGAGGAGAGGGGAGGGACGGAGAGGAGAGGGCTGGGGGAGGAGAGGGGAGGGAAGGAGAGGAGAGGGCTGGGGGAGGGGGGGGGGGGGGAGGAGAGGGGACGGGGGGGGGGGGGGGGGGAGGGAAAGAAGGGGGAGGGGAGGAGAGGGCTGGGGGAGGAGAGGGGAGGGAAGGAGAGGAGAGGGCTGGGGGAGGAGAGGGGAGGGGAGGAGAGGGGACAGGAGGGGAGGGGAGAGAAGGGGAGAGGAGGAGAGGGCTGGGGGAGGAGAGGGGAGGGACGGAGAGGAGAGGGCTGGGGGAGGAGAGGGGAGGGACGGAGAGGAGAGGGCTGGGGGAGGAGAGGGGAGGGGAGGAGAGGGCTGGGGGAGGGGGGGGGGGGGGGGGGGGAGGGAAAGAAGGGGGAGGGGAGGAGAGGGCTGGGGGAGGAGAGGGGAGGGAAGGAGAGGAGAGGGCTGGGGGAGGGGGGGGGGGGGGAGGAGAGGGGACGGGGGGGGGGGGGGGGGGGGAGAAGGGGAGAGGAGGAGAGGGCTGGGGGAGGAGAGGGGAGGGGAGGGGAGAGAAGGGGAGAGGAGGAGAGGGCTGGGGGAGGACTGACGGAAGCCAAAACGAGTGTTTAGTGTCAGCTCTGTGAGAATGACAACTTCTATCAAGAAGCACAGTTGGCAACATTGTGCGCTTACGTGAGACTGTGATCAAGTTTACCCGAGATCTATCAGGTCTGTCTTTTATGGTCTGTCTCTTCTATAGTGAGGACAGACACCCGGCCTGCGTGTCTTTGAGAAAAAGGACTGTTATGTAGAGCCGACCTGGATTTTTCACACACTTGCAGAAAACAGTGTGCTGTGTGTGTGTGTGTGTGTGTGATTACCATAATTGAGAGTGACTGCTAAGACAGCACAGGCGGGAAGGTGTTGAATTCAACCCCCAAACAAATCTGCCTTCTCAAGAATTATGTGAATGAATGAGAGGAGAAGAGAGACAAGGCTGGCCACGCTCCAGGCTCCAGACACAGATGGGGTCAAACTGAGGAGATAAGGGACTTGTGAATGTGTGTGTTGCTGTTTGAATGTGTGTGTGTAAGAGCTTACATTGGTTCCGACTACTGGCTCACTCACAATCACTGTTTGGGCTACGCACCAAACCAAACAAATCTATTTTATCTGTGGGAGGTTCTACACCAGAGCCGGGGATAGATCACACACTTATTCTTTGTCCCTTCACATCTTTGTGTTCCTGTGAAAATGATGTGTT